GATGACAGTCTTGGATTGTGGTCGGTGTTCATGTCCATGCCTACGGCCATACCCACACATACACACACGTATGTACGTACGTACGTATGTATGTATGAGCATTGGATGATCCACATCTTCATCAAGGTTGGCGGCAGGCCCCTAAGGCGGTGTTGACATCTTGTCGTGTCCTGTCGTCTCGTGGCGTAGCATGTCGCGGCCGTAAGCTACCCCCGGTTGTATCCTGCATAGCATCCAGGCCCGTTCCGTTCCCCATTCGTCCCCTGTCTGATTCTCCGCCCCTAATTCAATGAAACTTGTAACAATTGACTCCCCAGTCTGTCCGGCAATCTAATATCCTGTGTAAAAGAAAACGTTTGCTCCATTGGTCTCTCTACCCAAGTGCGTATCGATGAGCGAGGCGTTGGCGCTTCTAGACGTGGAATTGCGCCTTGTACCTCGTCTCCAAGGCCGCTTTGAGAGCGTCGCAAGTCTGCTTGGCGTCGCCGAACAGCATCCTCGTGCCGGGCATGTAGAACATGGGGTTCGGGACGTCGGCTGGGGGGTGTCGTTAGCGCATGTACCACATGAGAGGATGGAATGTAATGGTGGGAAGGATCACGAGGTATGAGATTGGGAATGGGGAAAAGGTAGAGGGCAAAGGGTGGGCTTTTGTAACTCACCATATCCACTGCTCATGCCTCGTTTCATCACAACCACCCCTTTACTCTTCCACGCATGCAACACGGGCATCCCGGCTATGGGGCTTCCAGGCTCCAATGCAATCGGATTCACCGTGTCGTTCGCGCCAATGACCAACGTGAGGTCCGTCTCCGGGAAATCGTCATTGATCTCATCCATCTCCAAGACAATATCGTACGGCACGCTCGCCTCGGCCAGTAGCACGTTGCACTGTCCCGGCATCCGGCCCGCGACGGGATGGATGGCGAAGCGAACATTGACACCCTTGGAGCGCAATAGCGAGACGATTTCGGCAATGGCATACTGGGCTTTCGCCACGGCCATGCCATAACCCACTACAATGATTACGGATTCGGCGTTGGCGAGCGCCTCGACCGTTTCTTCCACGGTGGTCTTGGTGATCTGACCTTTGATTTCTTGCGACGTTTGAGCGATTGGCGCAATGCCACCGAAGAGGACGTTGGTAAGTGAACGATTCATCGCGACGCACTGTTGTGAGACGGAATGTTAGCAATACTTCCAAACCAGGAATCCGCTAGGTGGGTTGGGTCCTTTACCATAATGTACGAGAGGATCGAACCGCTGACACCGATCAACGAGCCTACTGTCAGTAGTAAGGGGTTGTCCAGCATGAAACCCTCCGCGACGAGAGCGAAGCCTGAGTAAGCATTCAACACCGTAATGACCACGGCTAGCACGAGAGGTCAGTAAGGTGTCGTGTAAGATGAGAGACAAAGTATAAACATACGCATATCCGCGCCTCCTATAGCGGCTGTCGTGGTAAAGCCTTTGGCAAAACTGAGCGCAGTGTTTGCGGACAGGCATACTGCAGCCACGGCCGGCGCCCCAGGCGCCATGGTCAAGAACGCACCCATCGTGCCAGCGTTGGCGGCCAAAAGGCCAGAATTAATAAGATGGCGACCAGGGAGGATGGTAGGTCGAGATGACATTCGTCCCGCGAGTTTCAGGAACGCAACAAGAGAACCAGTGAATGTTACACCACCTGAACATTATTAGAGAAGGGTCCGACTCGAAATAACAAGGCAAACATACCAATGAGAACGCCCAAATACGCTGTCACCATGTGTAAAGACGAGATATCCGAGACATGAGCAAGTACGCTGCCGATGCTAGTGAGGACGGCTGCGAGACCAACAACGGAATGCAGTGCAGCAACCGTCTGAGGTAGCTCGGTAGGGGTAATACGTCGTCCGATCAGGGCGCCTGTTTGTCATCATGAGCACCTCGTGTCCATCAACGACCAAATTCAGAGGGGAACGTACCAACAATACCACCAATAGCTGCAATCGTGCCAAACTGTGTCATCACTTCCCCGGAGAACCCAACGGCGCCGAGTGAGGCAATGATGCCGGCGAAGACACCCAGTATTCCAAGCAGGTTCCCTGTCCGGGCGGTTGCTTGCGATGCAAGTCCTTGGATAGATCCTAGAATAATGAGGATCAGCTGCCAAGTACGCATTGTCGACAGGATGGCCAAGGCACTTACCGATACAGAGCAGACTGCTCACCAGGTATCCGGCCTGCACGAGTCCAGCCATACCTGTGCTTGCTGCGGCGATGAACCCGCCACCGAATAGCACACCGGGAATCGCATACAGCCATGGATACTCCGGAGGGTCCGTAGGTCGTTTGAACATATCCAACATGCGCTTCGTAATGACAAACCCACCTGATACATTAACAAAAGCAAGCAGAACCGATAGCGCACCGAGTACTTGTGGGACCGTTTCTGGCAAATATCCGCCACCCATGATGAAAAAGCCACCTACACCCACAATGCCAGAAATGGCGTTGGTAACGCTCATCAAAGGAGAATGAAGAGCAGGAATCACACCCCAGACCGAGCGATAGCCAATCAGACCGGCCAGACCAGCAGTAAATGCGCTGCCCATGAACAATGGGGACGTCAATTTCCCTAGAGCAAGAGCTGCACTCATACCTCCAGTCACGGCTGCGACATTACGGGCTTGACTTTGCCATGGTGTCAATGCAACTGGTTTGGATTCCTGTTCGTGATGCTGCTGTGCAGGCGCAGGAGGTGGCGCAGGTCGTGGTGCAGGGGGAATGATTTTCCCATCGTGCGTAACAATGGAGCCTCGCACGACTTCGTCCTCCAGGTCAATGCCAAAGTGGTTCTCCCTGGGGGAAATCGCCAGCAGAAACTTCGTGATGTTGTTGGAGTACAGACTCGTCGACTGTGTTGGAAGGCGAGACGGAAAATCCGTGTAGCCGATGATGGTAACGTGGTTATGCACAATCAGTTTGCCGGGTTGAGTCACCTCGCAGTTCCCGCCGCCCTCTGATGCGAGGTCGACAATGACCGAGCCGGGTTTCATGGCACTGACCATTTTCTCCGTGATCAATTTAGGAGAAGGCTTTCCGGGAATGGCTGCAGTGGTAATAACAATGTCGACATCCTTGCACTGTTCCATGAAGAGTTTCATCTCCGCCTCGATGAATTCCTTGGACATTTCCTTGCTGTAGCCACCTGCTGCCGAGCCTTCTTCCTTGACGGAGACTTCCAGAAAGTCGGCACCCAGGGACTGAACTTGTTCTCGAGCGGCAGAACGAGTGTCAAACCCGCGGACGATTGCACCCAGCCGACGGGCGGTAGTGATGGCACTCAACCCAGCAACGCCAGCTCCGATGACCAAGACTTTGGAGGGAGGGATCTTTCCCGCAGCAGTGACCTGACCGGTCAAGAAGCGACCATAGTGATTAGCTGCCTCAAGCACACCTTTGTAACCCGCGATATTGGCCATGGAACTTAACGCATCAAAAGCTTGAGCACGGGAAATTCTCGGAATCATGTCCATAGCAAACGCAGTCACGCGCTGGGAAGCAAGAGCCTCAACGAGGGGTCTGTTCTGCATGGGTTGCAGGAACGAAATCAAGGCAGTCCCCTCTCGAATCTTGGGTACTTCCGACTCAAGGTTCGGTGGACGGACTTTGAGCACGATATTGCTTTCCGCCCACACGGTCTCGCGGTCGACCACAGTGGCGCCAACATGCTCGTAGACCTCGTCAGCATATTCAGCTTCGATACCAGCGCCTCGCTCGACGAGGACACGGGCAAACCCTTTCTTCAACAGTAAAGGGATGTTTTGTGGCGCGACAGCGACACGACGTTCACCTGCCAGAGTCTCTTTGGGAACGCCAATGGTCAGTTGCGAATAAAGAACTGGCTCAACCGGCAGGTCGGACTTGAATCTCGACCACACAGTGACAGCCCTCGGTGGTAACTTGATCAGACTTTTATGTTGATGTTGATTTTTCAAGGTGAGCGGAACCAGCCCGCCACTGACTGAGTGCACATGTCGCCTCGCGTGACGGCTCTGCCGTACACAACCATAGATGGCGTCGATCCTGGAAACTGGGTCGACATGTCAGCCTGGACCTCAGGCTCTCTCTCAATGGAACAGGATTTCAGCAGTACCTGAGTCTCTAAAGCTGAAGCAGCTCTTGGTTGATAGTTTTACCGACAAAGGCGCGGACACGATGGCAAAAGAGGCGGGAGCCATTGTGCTATCTCACCGCCACAAACAAGCTCGATAAGAACCTTGTAAACTCGGATCTGGGGCTGCAGATAACCGCGATGACCTGCATGTCAAGCCCGGAGGCACCCGTCAAGAAAAAACACGCGATTCTATGGCATGCTCTGCGGCGGAAAGAGTGTTTGCAAATTTCGCCGTGTAGCCAAACTTGCGAATGAACAGGAGAATTGGAGAGCAAAGATGAGGAGGTAAAACGTGGCAGGCTGGTGAGGAAGACGGAGTCACCAGTAGTAGTGAGTAGTGGGCAGCGGAGCTGTAAGGAACCGATGATACTGCCGAGGGAGAAATGCAGTTGGGCACATGACGGCTAGGTTCAAACAGGAATGCCCCAAAGCCTGAATGAAGCTTGGAACTGTGTGTGCATGGGTTGCATTGACCGTCACAACCCTTCTCGTGGTACAAAAAGCTAGGTACGGGTTGGCATTGTGGCTGTCAACGGCGGGCATCGGCAAGATTGATGCCCCTCGTGCCCCTCCAACCAATTGTTAGGGACAAAATGAGGGCAAGAGCCGCCCGTGCGTGGTGGGGGTGGAGCAGGCGGGGTGGGAGCTGATTACGGTAGGATTCAAGATGGAATGTGGAGGAGGGGAGTACGAGAAATAGAAGGACGAAAGGCCATTGATCGCTATCACCACCGTTATGGTCACCATTATGTACCTGCGTGCTGTAGCCATTGTGAACCTGCAAGACTGCGCACCTATCAACTATACAGAAGACCCTGGTTGGTCTACTGTCGCAAGGATCTTCAGCAATCTTTCTCCTCTGTACGCAGCTTCCCCTGGGGTTGTAACGACTCCTCAGCTGTGCTCGCGTCTTGTCCGGGCAGCTCGTGATCCATTCCAGCGATAGGCTCCAAGAACCCGCGAAACGTCGTCTTGATGATCACCCAGTCCTTGTGGAAATCATCCTCTTCATTCTGGATAGGGGTGTCTCCGTTGGCGGCTGACGTCTGAACGTCTTTCCTCTCTTCAATATCCAGTGTCCACCTCATCCCATATCCTCGTGCATTCCTAATCTCGTACACAGCTACTCCATGGTGCAACAGCATCACATTCCTCCAGACTGCTTGTACAAGCATGTCCTCCAATATTCCCCTTGCGATTTCCGTCTTGTTCTCGTTGCTCCCCGTTGGCAGGGTCCAGAATGGGTGTGCTCGGCCATGCTCTGAAGATGCACCACCACGCTCAAAGTGTTTGCAAAGCGCAACTGCACCCGAGGACATGAGGGTTCTGGGGCGTGGTGGTGCATTAAATGTATCGCGCAAGGTGGATGTTGGTGGAGGTAGCAGGAAAAGTGTTCCTTTCGTTTTCACGAGGCCAGCAGTCCGGTATGTATTTTCGCGATCTGATGGACTCGTGGACCATGGAAGGACGAGGGACGGGTACATTTTACTGTGGCTGGTCTCGCAGTTTGAGCCGCTGGTCAGGGAACGAAGAGGCATAAGCACGTAGGAAATGGAACGGGCGGTGAGAAGCCTTCCCCCTTTCGTAATTGGAGCAACATTGCTGCGAGGCAACGCGACAGACAACAGCTGAGGATGGAAATCACTTCATTACATTGCACGCAAGAAGATGTTATAAGTGGTCTCGACGTGGAACGAGCAAAATCACTACAGAAATGCATAAAATGACAAACAAGACAGGGTGGCTGCAGCTGGATAAACAATGCCCCGACAAGCACGGAAAGCTTCTGCAGATTCCCCGAACCTGATAGCGTCATACATCTTTGGTATTGCACTGTGCGGGGAGGCATCCTTGGGCGTCCAATCCGCAGTTCAAATTGGTCAGCTCGATAGTTTCCAGCAGTGTCTACACCGAAATCAAAGTGCCTAGCGGCAACATGGTGCTCCGCAAGAGGGAGTGATGATCCCTGATATTCTCTGGGACGACCCTCTATTGATACTCTCTTCCTGCACCAGGCAGAACCGACTTGTATCGTCCAGCTGTGCTCCCACTGACCCAGCTCGAACCCCAATTTCTTGTACTCCGTGTATAGTAACAGCCAACCTCAAACATGGCTTCAGCAACGGGTATTCCTGAGCGCAATCCCGCCCTTGAAGAGGAGGAGCCGCTCTTGGGAAGGCCAGGAGACGTCACACAACGGCCAGGCCAGGGAATGCAATTCAATTTTGTGACAGGAACAGGTATGGATCCTCTTCGACTCGTCGAAGCCAACATCCTCTTTGGCATCGTCGCTGATAGGGAACAGCTATTCTCGCCCAAGTGGGCATCGTTATTCTGACAGCTCTGGTCTGGGCTGCAGTGTTCAAGACCGGGTTCATATTCTTCTCCTATCATCCTTTGCTCAACTCCCTGGCTATCCTCCTCCTCGTTCAAGGTGTGCTCGTCCTCCAACCCACAGCGGCTCAAAAGGACAAGATTACAGGCACATATGTGCACTCGGCAATCAATACGTCGGCCGTTGCATTGCTCATAGCCGGCTTGGTCATTATCGAGATAAACAAAGCTTCACACCCTGAGACCCGCTTCCAAAGTGTGCACGGGAAAATGGCATTGGTGGCCTACATACTCATCTTCCTGCAATGGCTGATCGGGGCCGCTGCGTTTTACTTGCCTGAGACGATATTTGGCACTGTTGATCGAGCCAAGTCACTGTACAAATACCACAGGTACGTGAAACAAAGGTTGCCATACTTTCTGTGGCCTAACAATGAGGCAGAATTTCGGGCTACGTTCTCGCCGTCTATTTTCTGGCTGTCATTGCTGCATCCACTCAGACATACTATAACCAGGCATTCCTGCACATCAAGCTGTGGGCCGTCATTGTGTCAAGCGTTCTGGTACTCGTGGGCATCATACCGCGCATCAAAAAGCACAAGCTTGGACTGTGAGAGAGTTGTTGATATCAACAACATGGACAGAGGAACGGATTGCATTGCAGGACTCAATTTTCCTTTTCCTTGACAAGAAGGCATCTTAATACTTCAGTTCGTTCGCTCAACACGAACATGGACACGAGCCATGATAGTCCTACATTGGGATTCGGGCAAACATTCGGAGGGACTCAAAATATGTTAGATGGCGAACACGCACTTGGGGACAAGACTCGCATTTAGCGCGGTAATTGGTCATTCGGTTGGTGTCTATTTGCAAGAAGCAGCTGGAGTTTTGTCTATTAGTACAAAATATAGGTCGATAGCTGCATTGTCGACTACTGTTCTCTATATGCTGCATAGACGAAATCCAGCTGGTGAAGTCGATTCGGCGTGCGGAGTAATTCGGATATGGGGCGCAGGCGATGACGCCCGGGTGGTGAGACCTGCAGTTCCGCCCATTTAAACTGCCATGTGCGCCGGAATAATTAAAACTGTCCAAATGGGAAGTTTGAAGATTCACCTTCGCCCATCAAGGCCTTGCCTGCGCTGCGCTTACTTCGATGAGCTGACTTCTATCTTTCATTGCCCTCCGTTCCAGCCTCTGTGACCATAGTCTAAGATGGCCCTCAACCTGGAGAAACAACTGCGCTTCGTGAGCAGCCTGCAACCCCTCTGCCATTTGTCCCGCTGACCATTTTCCCACAGTATGGCGCATACCACCATGACGCAGTACGGTCACAAACGTCGACCCTTGAGAGAAGTCGCTGATTTGGATTCAGATCAATATTGGCATACACATGGTTGGAGTTCCCATTATCCTGTGGACTACATTCCTCCTTGTATGAGATAAGACCCGTCCATCCGACGAGCACGGCAACTTACCTCTGTGGTAGTTCACGAATTCCGGTCCACTGATCAAGTTGCCTCAATCGATGACCATCCCCAACCTCGAACTGGACGCCGGCACACTTTTCTGCCTGTCTTACTGCGGGCTATACATCTTACTCGAGCCAGTGGCCGGAACGGCGTTCGCCGCACTGCTTCTCTCTGGAACTGCATACGCACATCACCTAGTCGCTGTCCACGGGATGACCGCCAACTTCTGGGCGGCGGCGGCATTCGTGGCGTCGTGGATTGCACAATTCTTGGGCCATGGAGTGTTCGAAGGACGGGCTCCTGCTCTGCTGGACAACATCTTTCAGGCATTTTTCTTGGCTCCACTCTTTGTCTGGTTGGAGATCCTGTTTGCGCTTGGTTACAGGCCGGAACTGAAGAGCCGGGTGGACAAGATGGTGGAGCAAGATATTGCCAAATATCGCGAGTCCAAGGCACAGAAAGCGAACGGGCAGGTGAACGGGACTGCTGCGAATGGTCACATCAAACAATCATAACCCGATCTGGAGCGTCGGCACCGGAGACGACAATGAGGAGGGCTGTCGAAAGATGGTACCCGAGGTGGGAGACCTCTATAATGACATTCGATTTATTGAGCGCATTCAAGCTTCACGACAACGCCATCGATTCCCCTTTGGCACTTTTCATGATGAGCGGCTACATGCAATTCCGGCGGAGTTATTTTGGCTGTGTATATCTGGCTGGGTGAAATGTACTCCCCTTCAAACAATGGAAGTGATGGTCTCTGCCATAAGCTGGTTGATGTTGTGCGGTCATCAGCCTTTATCTGTTGGCCGTGGATGAAGAATTTCGGGGGCGCCACCAAAAACACGTAGAATTCAATTCCATCTAGATAATTCCAAGAATGTATACCTGCCAATTTGTGCTTAACATGATTTATACTCCAGGCATTTCACCCCCTTTTGAGTTGAGCTGGTAGACTGTTACTCGGTGCAAAACGGACTCAAAGGATTGCCAAGCTTTAAACATGTTCCTCCATCCCTGCAACGCCGTCTCCCAGTTTCTTGCCTCGGTGTGATGATGCCCCTGAATGCATGGGTCGATACTACGCTCAAAGCGCCTCTGGAACAGGGCACTTCATTCCATACACATGACCGTCACGAAACGAAATCAACCAAGGGCAGCTCGCTGTTGGAAGGATGGGTGCATCAAAGTCCCAGCGGACCGAACCCATCAACTGAGGACGAAAACGCAACGTTGGTGGTTCCCGCACTGCCGTTCCGAGCAACGAATTGACAGTAAGCCAGATGGCAGTTGATGCATGGATCAGAGCAATGGAGTTCAGCCTCCAGAGAAAGCACATCGACCACTCTCCCCTCGACCGATGAAGAGCTCAAGTCCGCGATCACAGCATTAAAGTCCTCAACCAGGGCGATTGAGCGCCGGACGCGGATCCTCCGCGCACAAGATGCTCAGCTAAAGCATATCGAGGAAGTTGAGAACGCTCTCGATGCACGAAAGACCAGACAAGAACAACACCTCGACCAAAAACATGCTGCTGAAGTGCAGTGTATCAAGTTTGCTGTAAATCTCCCCTTGCCATCTGACCGCTGACCGCTAGACAAGAAGTCGTCGCCCGCTGACTTATGCATGAGAATGAACAAATACTCGAGGATCTGAGGTTAACACTGCGAGCCGAGTTCGATCGCGTTATCAAAGACTCGAAAGCGACTCCCGCCACTGTCACGGAGCTGCTCAACTCAGACGATCGCGTGCTTTCTGATCTCAATGACCTCTCATCCTCAGGCGCTCAGGAGAAACATGATGTCGCGCTCGATGCGCTAGCAGACAGAGTAAACAAACTTACACATGCTTTACAGTATTTCCGCGCGCAGACTCTCAAAGATCGTCTGGATCGTGCGTATCTTGAATCACTCAGCAGTGCAGACATCGCCTCTAGTGCTCAGGTCGTCTCTGACGGTACAATCGACACTGTTCAAGATGATCTAGGCTCTCTATACAAGGAGATTGATGATGTTATGGGAATGGTTGTGGCTCAAGAACACGGAAATGCCCTTCAGGCAGCTCTCCAGGATGTCCGCCGTGCGCAGAAGCAGAACGACAGGTCCCTCCATGAAAAGGTAAGGTCCATTGCTTTTAATCATTCGATTGAGGTTCACTCACATGGCAATCTGCTAGGTCTACAACCAACTTTTCTCCCTCACACAAGCCGTCACTAGTCTCTCGGAGAGGCTGGAGAGCCTCCAATCTCGACGACTCAGGTTGCACGAACTGGACGTGCAACTTCAGCATGTTGAGACCAGTGTTCGCTCTAATACGAAACCTATGATTGAGAAGACAGGCCCAGAGCCGGAACAAAGCATCAAACCCGCCGCAAGGGCTTTAAGTCAACACCTCGGACTCACTCCGGGAAGCGGTGATAGAAAAATGTCTGATGCAGCAACCACTTCGAGCCAACTCGACGACCTCATTTTGAGTTTGGACACTCAGTCAGCAGGGAGCGTTCTGAGAGTGCTTCAGCTGTCGGACCGAGCCGCTGCGATGCGAGGCGCTGCAGTACAGCGTGCATCAGAGGCACTGGCGTCTCATGGTTCTCACGAGCTTGGTGTCCGTGAACTAGAGGAGATGATTGCAGCTGCGAAGGCTGAAATGGAGCGAGGGAATCCCTGATACGGTCAGAAACACGACCCGCCTGAAGCGAAGTGCATTCTGTCGCCGCCAGTGCGGATACAATAGCCCGTGCCAATCGGAATGGTCAACGACACGCAGCGAAGCTACTCTTGGATATGCCGGCTTTTGGCTCTCCCACTCAATATGTTCCTATTGCGCATTTGCATCTCTGCGGGTAACCGTCCCGCTTGTTAGGAGGGAACAGGAGCTTTCTACGCGCCCCAGGAGGACTGTAGAATATGAGCTACAACCAAATAGCCTAATCAATACGGCAAACAAGTATATGTTCTGGCAATGGTAGGCAAAGTAGACGTATATCATAGTCTGTGCCATTACTTTACCCCGACAAACAGCAGAGCAATCTACCACAGAGTCACATAAAAGTAAAAAAGCCTCTCGATTGACATGATCTATCATCAGTCTATACTTGCGTAAGTTTTTCATAATATATAAAACTTATGGTATTACACATTGGCGCGGAAAACCCCCCTCCAATAAAGAAAGCAGGCAAAAACACACACACACACACATAAAACTGGGAAGTTTGGCTTCAAACATCCTCCCTGACCCTGGGCAGCACGTGCGGTTGCCGGACGTTTCTGTCCCGAGTGCCCAACTCCATGGTGACCGGGGTGCGCTGTTTCTCCTCGGATTTGCTCTTGGTGAAACTCCGGGTCATGGTGAAAAAACCCTGTCGGAGGGAGAGCACGGCGCTGGAGGGCCCGAGGCGGCGGCCCTTCATGCCCTCGGTCTCCTCCTCCTTGAACCAGCCAGCGGCGCGCTTGACGTACTTCCAGGCCTCCATGCCGCTGACGAAGACGAAGACGCAGACGATGGCGGGCGCCCACTCCCAGGAGATGCCCTTGTGCTTGAACACGGATGTGTTGAGGCCCGGGATGTAGACGGCCGGGAAGACGGACACGGCCCCGATGACGACCGACCAGAACAGGAACTGGTTCTCCCAGATGTCGGCGAAGAAGGGGAAGGTGCGCGTGTCGTGCGGGTTGATCCGGAACATGCTCCGCCGCATCGCCTTGAACTCCCACGCCGAGATGAGGATCAGCCAGGTCAGCTCGGCGAAGACGGCCGCCCGCGCCCGGAACACGACGTCGCACGTGTCGTTGTACTTGCGGTTGCAGTCCTGGCCCAGACCGTCCGGGCCCGGTCCGTACACGATGAAGACGAACGTCATCAGGCAGCACGTGCCTTGGATCGTCCCGTACACCAGCATGTCCGTGATCAGTTCCCACGTGAAGACGCCCTTTTTGTTGTCGTGCGGCGGCCGCTCCATCACGTCCGGCGACGCCTTTTCCCGGCCCAGCCCGAACGCCGGGAACGACGAGGTGAGCATGTTGATCCAAAGGATTTGCAGCGGCGAGAGCGGGAACACGGAAAACCCCGTGTCGTCCTGGAACCCCAGGCCGCAGATGAGGAGGATGACTTCGCCGACGTTGGACGTGAGGAGGTGCAGCACGAAGCGTTGGATGTTGTCGAACATGCGGCGACCCTCCTCGACGGCGTTGACGATGGACGCAAAGTTGTCGTCCGTCAGCACAATGTCCGACGCCGACTTGGCCACGTCGCTCCCGTTGAGGCCCATGGCGATACCCACGTCGGCGAGCTTCAGCGACGGCGAGTCGTTGACCCCGTCACCCGTCATGGCGGCGAACTTCTTCCGTCGGTGCAGCGCCTCGATCATCCGGACTTTGGTCTCCGGGGCGCAGCGCGCCACCACGAGGGGTAGGGTCGGCAGAGCGTCGATCTCGGCGTCGGTCATCCTGTCGAATTCCGTCGCGGTCTTGACAATGGCCGCCGCCACGTCCGGTGCGAGCGCGCCCATGTTCTTGGGAATGATGCCGACTTCCTTGGCGATGGCGGTCGCCGTGGACGGATGGTCACCCGTCAACATGGACACGGTGATCCCGGCGGTCGTGCAGGCCTGCACGGCGGCTTTGGTCTCGAGGCGGGGCGGGTCGTACAGACCAGCGAGACCCAGCAGACAGAGATCCTTTTCGACAACGCTCCGGTCCACGTCGCTGTGTTCCTCAATTTCCAGGGTCGTGTCTCTCCTGGCGATGGCCAGCACTCGCAAGCCCTGTTCGGCGAGAAACGTCATTTGTTCCAGAATGGCTTCCTTCAGGGTCGGAGTCATCTCTTCGTGCTTATCCCCCACGCCCACGGACGTGCAGAGGTCGATGATGCGTTCGACCGCGCCTTTGGTGAAGATGAGAGAGTGTTCCAGGCCGGGTTTCGTGTACACGACCGACATGCGCTTGATGGAGCTGTCAAAGGGGTATTCCATCTTTTGTACCCACCCGCTCTCCTCGAGCGTTTTCTTGCCGTAGTTGAAGCGGTGTGAGAAGACCTGCAGGGCAATCTCTGTCGGGTCGCCCGCCGTCTTCCACTTCTCCTCCTCTCCGTCCTCGGCGACCTTGCGGACGGTCGCCAGATTGCAAAGGGCTGCGGATTCTAGGAACGCCTGGAGTTCAGGTGTGACCTCCGGGTTGGACTTGACGTCGGTGTCGGATTTCTCCGAGGCCTTTTCGGCGTCCTTTTGTAGTTTCTCACTCGGGAGATCGAAAGAGATGCCCGCAGTGCTTCGCTTGCGGTCAAAGGCTTCTTCTCTGGCGATTCTCTCCGCCTCAACTTCCTGCCGCGACCTGGGCGCCTTGCCGAGCGTGACGGTGCCTTCTGTCGGGTCTGACGCGTTGTTGGAATTCTCCACGCTGTAGATGCCGACACCGGGAATCCATGCCTTTCGCGTCACCATCTTCCCCTGGGTGAGAGTGCCGGTTTTATCCGAGCAGATGTTGGTGACACCCCCAAGGGCTTCGAGTGCACTGAGTTGTCGGACGACCACCTTGCGTTTCCGCATCTGCGTCATGCCCACGACCATAGTGATGGTGAGGACGGCAATCAAAGATTCGGGGATGATGGCAATGCCCGTGGAAATGGCGTAGATGGCAACCTCGTTGGTGACGTTGAATCGGTTGACCCCAAACACGATGATGGCCAGGAGGATGGCACAACCAAAGAGGACGTAGGCGAGTTTGCTGAGCTTGATCTGTAGAGGCGTGCCGCCGGTGAGACCGAGGAATTTGCGCACACCGTCGTATGTACGCAGGGCACCTCCCTTGACGGGCTGCATGGGTCCGTACTTCTTCCTCGACATGGAACGGTTGGGCTTGCGTTTCTTTCCCTGCATCGAGGCAGCGATCCCTCCAATGGCCGTCGACATGCCGGTGTAGACCACCACGCCACGGCCTCGGCCCTTTGTCACCGTGGACGACGAGTACGCTATGTTGAGTCGGTCGCCCAGACCTAGATCTTCTTTGGCGATGCCGTGCTTGGTCTCGAATTCGACTTCTTTGGCAACCGGCAGCGCCTCGCCCGTCAAGATGGCTTCGTCGCATTCGAGGTTCATCACCTCGAACAGTCGCAAATCAGCCGGAACCGTGTCACCAGTCTTGATCGACACAATGTCACCGGGGACGACTTCTGCCGAGGGAATGGTCATCTCGTTCCCATCTCTGACCACCGCTGCCGAAGGGGACGAGAGTGACCGCAAAGCGTCCATTTTCTTCTCGGCCTGAAATTCCTGGTAGAAGCCAATGACGACATTGAGAACGATGACGGCGGTGATGACGGCGCCTTCAACGAAATCTTCCACGCCGTACGAGAGTGCCATGGCGAGCACCAACACCTGTTAACACGGTCAGCTGGCTCTACGCCTCCAAAACGAAACGGTTGGTAGAGGAAAATCATACCAGAATCATGGCGTTGGAGATTTGCTTCCCCAGAATGGCATACCAAGAGACCCCTCCATCGCCTTCAAGCCTGTTGGGTCCATACTTCTGTTGGTAGTCCTGGACCTGGGCATTGTTCAGGCCCAAGTCGGTGCTGGTCTCTAGATGACTGATGACTTCATCTGGAGAGAGGAGGAAAGGGTGCTTCGGATAACTCTGTTCCGCTCTTGTGCCCTTTTTGCCCATAGCAGGCGGCTATCCAAGGCGGGTTGAATTTATGGGCTGGGCAAAGGGGATTTCGAGGTTTTACTGCTTCCAGATAAGTTGGATGAAGGAGTCTAGCTTGCTCGAAATATCTGTGTCTTGACAAAACCACTGATTCTATGACATAGACAAGCAACAGTGAGTCATGACGTGAAGCTTGAAAAGAGTGAGAGTGGATCCCCCCTTCCCAGATCAAGGGACATGCCGCTGGTTATATAGAGCTGAAGCAGCATCTTATCGGAGTGTTCAAACCCCCGAAGGCCTGAACCCGCACGATCAGGTCCAAGACTTCCACCGTGTCCCTATCCTTGAAGCCAAGAGTCATCTCGCCGATATCTGGTCTTGACACAGCTGTTCTGCGCTCTTGGCGTGGGAATAGTGTCCCCCCAAGGCTACTTCGCGGTGGAAATGTGGCGAGGAGCAGTGCAGGGCGCTCCCATATGTGCGGAATCGGCCAAGCCTGGGCGGAGGTGGAGGCGGGTGATAGGGTTACAGAGGGGAAACACGCCCAAGAAGTCCCAAGAGGAGGGAAACTCCCCTGCTGGGGACTCTGTTTCGCCAGAAGCAATCCGCAGCGACGAGTCGGCATCGTCCGGGGCTCTTGGGTTGGACTTGGTTGACGCAATGGAAAGTCATACGAGCCTGTAAGCGAGCGGAGTCAAGACCTTGGGAAAATCTTGGCTCTTGGCGCCAAGGTCCCTCGCTCAATTGATCGCTTTCGCCGAGGCAGGAGTGGCAGGGTATGCGTGTCCGCCACTCTGATTGTGCTCCCAATCCTTGGCCACATGGAATCCAACCCGCGCATCATCACTTTGTACTCGTACATAACGCCATCTTGTGCGCTTTTGTCCATTGTCCATGGCATTCCGTGGCGATCTGGGCCAAGCATTTCCGTCTTTTCTTTCTTCTTCCTCGATGAACCATACATTCCGTCAGTGTCCGGACACGTGCGAGGCTACCTCTGCAAAGAACTACCAATTACAGACGTGGAGCGATTCATGGTTTTCTCGGGTCTTGGGAAGGCAGATCGTGGGGTGGGTAATATCTATATCTATCGTGATCCCGGCTTTTGCATCCGATGTTCGGCTTGCTACCCTTTTTCTTGGATTTCCGAGGACCTGGTACATACCCATTCATGCTCTATATGGGCTGGTATCTCTGCATTGATCGACTGACTTTTTCTGAAGGGTTACGGTATACAGTATCTATAAGTAGGTAGCTATGGGGTTTAGGGAGCTATGGTTGGTATTGGTTTTTTTTTTTTAGCAATGATTTCCTTCCCATCATTCCACAAGCCGAAGCGAAGCTAATCTGAAGCAAATGGTTGATCACATACAAGAGAACTTGACCTCAACCTCCCACTTCCTTCTCGTCTATGTTGTGCTGATATTGTTCATCCACGGCCAAGAGAGAATATCCTGATGGGATGGCAACAGACAGGAAGCGACATCGCATTCTGATAGGCGCCGAATGTAAAACGTCACGATCTGGCACAGTTTCTCTCTGTTCACTTACTGAATGGATGCCATCACTCCAACTTGGGGGACGGCTGGCTACGCATAGTCCTTCCCAAGTGCACGAGGATTTGCATCACACCAAAGATCTTGGACAGATATGATAGCACAGACTCCCGTTATCTTGAACCGACACATTTGGCCGCGGTGAGGATGCGTGGTGGTTCATAATCTCAGGCCATCATGTCAGGTTATCCATAAAAGATCTGTCGTCATCCGCATGACAATGTCAATCGATTCCCTGCGGACGTAACCCCACGACTTTCAAGAGATTGAGTTACGGCTGGTAGATAATATCTTCAACGGAGCCGCTCGACGATGTGGCGGCCCTTGCCGGGCAATGTGTTTGTGTTTGTGAATGTCCAAGTCCCGGTATTGAGGAATGGGTGTTTACCAGTAAGTCGCCACACCTTACAAATGGACATGCTTTCGGGGCTTGTTCTAGAGTTCTAGCCTCTAATAGTTAACCGGTTCTCTGGTCTGGTGAACTTGCCGAGACTCTTCGGATCCGGCATCACTCGGTATATCGTCGAGTAGCTGCTCACGCAACTTTTTCCATCCCCTCGTCAAGGTCGAAAAATATACCGTTACAGCTCGCTAGACTCAGCCTTCATTGCCGACATGTTAGCAGGAAGGGCGACCGCATTGGTCGGTGCAGGCACGCAAGGTCGACGGCTCGCTTACATGGTGAATATCCGTGCCATCCCTCCGTCGAGTTTGACCCCATACTGACCAGCCCTGGTGCAAAGTGGTCGAGTCAGGGCCGAGCTGTTCATCTTATTGATGCCCAGGCAAAACAACTTTCCGACAGTGTCAAGTACATTGACCAACTTCGGGCTGCCTCTCAGAATCCAAGCCAACGATGGGGCGAGATTAAAACGTTTACCTCGGACTCGTTACCGGAGGGGTTGAAGGATACGTGGTTGGTCGTAGAGGTACCGCGAGCATCATTGAAGCTGTGAGCTAGGATGTCACGTTGATGATGAATATTTCAAAAACAGTGCGTACCGGAGAGGCTGGAGCTCAAGCGACAAATGATCACGAAACTCGACGAGCTGGCAGCCCCCGAGACTATCATCGCATCCAACTCGAGCAGTTATAGCATTTCCGAAATCATTGGTGGCCTGAAATTGCCCCATGAGCGACGCATTCTCAGTGCTCATTGTTGTAAGTACTCGATCAATATCAGAGCAAAGGACCATTCACTGACAAGATATATCATCCAGACTGGCCTCCGGAGACTTCTGGTAAGTACCGAGTGAAGTCATATCAACTGCTCTCTACTGACCTCGTCAAAGCTATCGAACTCATGGGTCATGCAAATACTGATCCTGCAATCATTCCACTCCTCATGGAGCAATGTCGGGATCATGGCTTCAGTCCATTCCATGTGAAGAAAGATTCCATGGGCTACATATACAACAGGTGTGCTCACCTCTCGATACTTTCAGACCCCTCTTCACTTTCTCAGAAGCACTAATGAAGTCTTTGTGGAACAGGATTTGGGCCGCAATCAAACGAGAAGCATTGCTCACGGCGGCAGAGGGTGTGGCTACTCCGGCGGAGATTGATGCCATTTTCAAAGACGTTCTGAAGACGCCGAAAGGCCCCTTTGAGCAGATGGACGTGGTTGGGCTCGACGTTGTGCTCAACATCGAGGAGCATTATGCAGAAAAGCGAAAGGATGTTCCTCCTGAGCCTCGCCAATATCTCCAGCAATTCGTCAAAGACGGCCTTCTCGGTGTCAAAAGCGGGAAGGGGTTTTATGAGTATCAAAGCTCGTGAGGAATCTGAACTGGGGTTTGACCTGTTGGTATAGACAATGTCAAAGACTTCGCACTGTCAAGATGCTTCCGGTCGCGAGAGAGCTTTCCTATAGATATATGTATGTACCGACATGTACCTAAAGTATGTAAAGAGCCCAAGGCCGGGGGGCTCGGCGCGTGACTCACCCCCGCAAACTTGCCTAGAAGCCCTAATTCCTACTTTGGGGGTCCCTATCGAACATTCTCTAGGCGGGTTGGCGGGGTTTGGGGCCACCTAGCCGCTTGGGTGTTTAGTATCAATAGGCTTAGGTGCTTGCCGGCGACCAACATAGTTTAGCGTCTCCCGCAAAGTTCGTGCCGCATCACCACCACTTCATCTCATCGCCTCACCTTCAACACTCCAATTCTCCTCCACAAACATCTCTCATGTATCGGCGTTATTGTTGGGGATCCCCGGGCTGCCATCCGCGCCATCATGTCTCAAGGAGAGATGGTCCCGCGCCGCGTCCAATTCTCTAGCTGCGACGAGTGTCGCAGGGCGAGAGTCGGTTGTGATGCGGGCAGGGCCCGCCGGAACCGAGAGGATCAGCAGGAGCTCGTGTCCTGCACGAGGTGCCTCAATCGCCAGCTCAAGTGTACATTCGAGGTTTGGCTGACCCACTGGCTGCTCTGACTGACCTTTCACGCTGACCGAGCATCTTCTCCCCAACAGTGGATGAAGCCGGGTACAAGCACTGCTGTATCCAACCGCAAAAGCCAGAACGCAAAACCTAGGAGGAAACGGTCTAGGGGGTCCACGCGAGAATCGACGGTTTGCGAAGAGAACAAAAGTGACACGGCTGGCGAATCACTGCCCAGTTTCCTTCACCAACATGCAGAGAGCGCCTCAGGTGAACCATTGGCAAGGTATGCTCCAACACTTACAAGTAAATGAAGCGCTCTCTAACCCTTACAGGACGACCTATGAGTGGGGCTGGGCTTCGGCTCAACTATCACAGCCTCTGCTAATCCAACCTCATCTGACCCCAGAACCGGTCAGTGCTGTTGAACGCCAATGGCTTCATACCATATACGAGGGGGCGTTTGAAACCATCTTTGGATCTTGGATGGGCCGCCACAGCAACCCTTTTGCGTAAGCCCGTCACTATAGGTTAAGCTCAGAACGTCGCTGACAGCATTAGTTTTGGAGAACAGAGCCTGGCGGACGTGGTTAGTATACGACGCGTTTGCAGCGAACTCGACAGACACATCGACGAAGAGGACGCTGTGGCCAACACAACATCGGAACCTGGAGCTTCACCAGATCTTGCCAGGCACGAGAAAGATACACAACTCAACCAGTTCCTTGACCATGCCGTCCAGTCTTTCGCCGCTCGCTGGCTACCTCTGACGCAGCAACATAGTTTGCCAGGGCTATCCCAGGCAGACATCGTTTGTCGTCTCTGGCGCCGTGCGCACACAGACATGCTCAAAGTCATCAACAGACCTTCTTATCGATCTATGTTGACTCTGCTATTGTTTGCCCTGACACCCATCCCGGTGGGCATATCTGAAGAAGAAGAACTTGAAGGAGTATCGGGACAAGTCTGCGTTCACGCAGCACTGCAGCAGATTCAGACACTTCGTGCACGTCAAAAGAGCCTGCAATTCAACGGAACAAGAGTCAACCTCACCAACTCGAACCGACCCATTGGAGCCAGTCCTGCCTCACTTGCCACCGCTAATTTTATTATCGCCGAGAGTACTGCGTATTGGGCAGCTCTGACATTCGACACCTCTGCCTCTTTAACCTTGAATTGCCGGCCATTGCTATCGTCTGGGCTTTTTGGATTTGAGTCTGAGCCATCCTGGCGTATGGTGCAGACCTGTATTGGTATCTTCCGCGAAACGACGAGAGATTGGAGCAATCTTGATGTCGACCTAACAGACGAGAAAGCAAATCAAGTCATAGCGGCTGGAGCAGCATGGAAGTTGCTGGTCTGGAAACTGACTGCCAATCTGAAAGAATCTCTGCGAGATGGTCACGATGAGGCAGAGGTACTCAGGGCCTTCAGCTCCGTGTCCAACGCCATCGATCAATTCAACATCACGTACCGAGAGTTGCTCATCGCGTGTCAGCGGCGGATACAGTTCTTCAACCAAGAAACGAGACTTCGCTGGTGTAAGCCTTTCCCGTTCCTGAAGCCTTTACGAAATCGTGTTACTCAAACTGTTTACAGATGAACTCATGCTGCACTATAATTTGGCGATTTTGATGGTCACTGATATTGCGACTGCAACACTACGGGAGGACTTGCTCTCCCTTTTCTCAGCAAAGAGAGTCGATGCAGAGACCTGGGTCATGAATTGCCTCGTCTTTGGGTTAAATAACAAATATACCTTACGACTACAGTCTGAGCCAGCCGTATCCGACACCGGAATCGCCCCTATTCAGTTGGCAAGCTTGACTGTCCCCTTAATTGCGATCGATCCATATCCCCACCATGTCGTTGCAGCGGTGAAGCTCATGCAACACGCCATTGAGAGAGACTTTGGAGCCGAAAAGATTAGCGCAGATGCTTACAATAATCTGCGTTGTACCCTGAAGCAAACCTTGGAGCAACTGCCGCAAGTCTCCAAATCGGTTCAGACAACAAGAGCGGAGTTTGAGACAGCTGAATTTCCACCCCAGCCACTGTCGCCTTACACTACTAAATCGGTTGTGTGAGAACTTCTTTGACCGCTCGATCTCCTCGTCAGTTCGCCGGGCAACGCACACAACCAAATGAGTAAGATCGCTGGAAACCTGAAGAATCAACTTACGAGATCACGCCACCCCCTATCCATATCCGACGACCACGGATTGCTGAGGCTGGTACAAGGTAACAGTGTCTGGACATTCTGGCTCGGTCTTTTCAGAAGTGGCAAGTGAAACAATTGGCCGCGCAAAGTGATAATGCATTACTGTGGGTAAGGAGATCCTCATCTCTGGAAATATTTACCCACTGGTTCTAATCAGCAATAGTTATCTACACAGCCATTTGTCCGATGGCAAATTGTGCATTTTTTTCCCAACGTTTGAGTGCGGGTTGCCACGCGAATGATGTCCTTTTGCGGTTTGGATGCAGAAGGCTGCCTCTCCCCCTGATGTTGCATCCGGATCCGAAAACAACCTTGTGCGGGAGCTTATCCGTTGGCTGAAGGCAATAACACCACGTTGGGGCGTCAGATTTGAGCTATCCAGCCAATGACAATCCCTTCTTTAGCGAAGGCCTTCGGGTCCGGTCTTTTGGGCTCCATTCTCCGCCAGTGAGAGTCTTCCGCCAAGATATTCGCTCCCGCTAGGGTTATCCCCAGAGGGGTATATCTCCTACAAGCACGCGGAGAAACGTGGAGTTGGCGATTGGCAGGGCCCTTCGCTTCCGGGGGCCTGGGCACATGTCAGAGGCTCACACGCAACGGTTTGACCCTGGACAGCGTTGACGTATCTATAAATTTCCTGCCGTTTCCTCGAGATCAGCACTTCCGTCCTCGGTCTGTCCTGTCACACAGTCACTGAGGCTACAACAAATTTCCTAACCCAGCACTACAGTCCATCATGGCTGAGACTGATTCCGCGACGCCCCAGAAATGGTCCGAAGAGCGTGTGGAGAAGCCATCGATCCACGAGAAGGACGTGGTGTATGAACATGCTGTATGAAATCGAACACCTTGAGGTTCTACCTGCTCGTCGTTAGCTAACACCTCCTTGCCGCTATAGAAATCAAAGCACCATGACCCAAATTGGACTGGCGAAGGGGTGGACACCTCACAAGTCGACCCCAAGAAGGTCCTACGGAAAATGGATTTGCGCCTGATACCCATGCTGGCGATCCTATACCTCCTGTCTTTCCTCGACCGAGGCAACATTGGCAACGCGAAGATCGAAGGCATGGAGACCGACCTGAGTCTTTCCGGGCCAGAATACAGCCTTTGCGCGACCGTCTTTGTGAGTTTTGATCCCGTGCCAGTACAGCCACAGACTAATGCCAATCGTCACCAGTTCTTCACATACTGTGCATTTGAGATTCCCTCAAACTTGCTTTTGAAGCGCCTCAGGCCTTCTGTTTGGTTGCCATCCATCATGGTAGCGTGGGGTACGTCTTTTGCAGCGTTGGCAGACAGATCATCAAGTTGACAAAGCTAGGCACGGTCATGACCTTGATGGGTCTTGTTCAAAGCTACCATGGCCTTCTCATTGCTCGTATATTCCTTGGTGTCGCCGAAGCTGGCCTCTATCCTGGTGTTGCATACTACCTGACAATGTGTGAGTAACCTCTTCTGTGGTCAGCCTTTGGCCATCTTGATTTATGACATGCAATGCTGACAGCACCTTCCAGGGTATTGCACCGAAGAACTGGCTTTCCGCCAGAGCCTCTTCTTCAGCGCCGCCAGCGTGGCCGGCGCCTTTTCAGGCTTACTTGCGTTCGCCATCGCCAAAATGGACGGCGTCGCTGGCGAAGCAGGCTGGCGCTGGATCTTTATTCTCGAGGGCATCGCAACTGTTGTCGTTGCCGTCGCAGCTTTCTTTCTCTTGCACGACTTCCCCGACACGGCAAGCTTTCTGACGACCGAGGAGAGGGCATGGGTCGTGCATCGACTCAAGTACCAAGGGAGCAAGAAGAGCGGAAGAATGGTCGCTGAGAGCGAGCACTTCGAATGGAAATACGTCATCAGAGGTAAGTGGATACCCTTTTCTTTCTCTCTACGACCAATGAGGTTAGCGCAGAACCTTGTTGGTTCAGCCTCGTGAGCTCAGCCTCGTGGTCTCGTTTAGCGATTTGATATTCAGAATACATCTAACCTTCGCACAGCTCTCACGGATTGGCAAATATACCTGTCGCTTTTCATGTATTGGTCTATCGTCGTACCCTTGTATGGCATCTCTTTCTTCCTGCCGACAATCATCAAGGAGCTTGGATACACGTCGGCGACAGCACAGCTTTTGACGGTTCCGATCTATATCACAGCTGCAATTCTGGCCGTCATCATCGGGTGGGCTTCGGACAGAGCCACCAAGCGAGGAGCCTCGCGCTGGCCCTACATCTTCTTCCCCGTGTGCGCCATTCTGGTTGGCTTCGTCATCGCCATCGCCGGTTCCGCTGCTGGAGATATCCCTGGCGTGGTGTATGCCGGCGTGTTCATTGCGACCTGTGGAATCTACCCCGCTTTTCCGGGCAACGTCACCTGGATCGCCAACAACCTCGCAGGGAGCTACAAGCGAAGCGTCGGGATGGCTCTACAGATCGGTCTGGGCAATCTCGGAGGCGCCATGGCGAGCAACTTTTATCGCAGCGTCGACGCGCCCAAGTATCTGCTTGGCCACGGTCTGGAGATCATGTTTGTCGTCTTCGGCCTGGTGGCCATCATTGCTTTGCGGATCTCGTATGGAGTCATCAACAAGAAGAGAGAGCGCAGTGGGGCCGCGGAGGGTTTGACGGACGAGCAGCTTGCAGACCTCGGCGACAAGAGCCCGTCGTTCAGGTATACGCTGTAGGCTGGTCCGAGGGTTGTCGGGAGCAGTGAGCCCACCAGATTTCAAGGTGCTCGAACTGCGCGGATGGTGAGAAGCCGCCGTCCATTTGAGCCTGTTCTCCAGAACTCAATCCGTTTTCGTTTTCCAACTCTCGACATTTTCGTCTTCTTCGGCCCAGCGAGCAATCCTCAGATGAGAGGATCTCTTGTACTAGCACAGATTTATTCTATGAATCACTACGACCTGTCTCGATAGGAGTTATGGTCTCAAAAATGGACTTTTCCCCAAGTCTCCTGAGGATCATGGTCAGGGCCAGTCAGTCAGTCATTCAATCACTCGGAGTTGCTGACCAGGATTTGAGTACTTCAATCGAGGTTGCCCCACTCGAACTTATCTATCTTTACTCTGATCAGCGAGTACCTCGTTATCGCGCGACGCTATACAAATGCAATGCGACACAATGTAATGCCCCGATCCAAGAAGCGCCGGCTTCGGCAAAGACACGGATCCAACACATGATGTGGTGTTTTTTTTTTCTTTTCCCCGTAGCCGGCCTGACTGATCTGCCCCCGTCTTCCTGTCTATCCGCTTGGCTTGAGTGTCCGTCTGCTTGTCTGCCTTGGTCGTCTTGCTTCTCCACACGCAACTTCTATTTACCCGCGTTGCGGGGGAATTTCAAAGTCCAAGCCCAAGCCGAAGAAGCGGGCGGCAGTCCCTCATAGCCGACTGACAGACACACCATTTAAAACAACCGCAAAAGTATATCGGGGCGTCGTACATCCCATCCCATCCCATCCCATCCATCTAACCTCCTTGTTCGTACTGTGTACAGGGGAATAGATTTACACATCTGACGTGTCGGGACTCTCCGAGTAGAGGAGACACACATATACATACACAAACAATCCTCAGAATAAGTCGGGGTGGACTGACTAGACTCTGTCCGTTACTCGAGACTTTGCCCGGGTGTGTGTGTGCGTGTGTGTGGGTAAGTCGACCATAGTCAGTCAGTCAGTCAGCTGGTTAGTCAGTCTGTTGGTGACTGAGCCAGCGAGCGAGCAAGTGCTTCAGTGGGTCGTTCATACCCAGTACTTAGCCGAGTTAACGGAGACAAAGGGATATCAAGACGAAGGAAGAAGGGAAACGGTCTGTCTCTCAGAAAATAAGATGGCCCAAGTCCAAAGCCAGAGTCAAAGTCAGAGTCAGGCTCAGGTTCAGGTTGATCTCGGAGGAAAAGGGGCGATTGTCACGGGCGGTGGATCAGGTATTCATATTTCCCACACACACTAACACACACACATTCCCCCCCTTCGGTCTATCCACCACGATCAAGTGTGGCATGCTGACGTATCGACAGGAATCTGTCTGGCTTTCGTCCAGCACCTGTACCGTGCAGGATGTAACGTCTTGATCTGCGACCTCGGCCTCCATCGCGAGGCGGTGGCGTGGCTCGACTCGATCGGCCAGAGTGGTGGCGGCACCACTTCTCCAAAACCCGGACAGACTCCCGCCGTTGCGTCTTCTTCTTCTTCTTCTTCTTCTTCTTCTGCTTCGCCGCGTGTCGCGTTCCTCAAGACCGACGTCTCGGACTGGAAGCAGCTGGAGCAGACGTTTGAGGGCTACGCCCGTGAATTCGGTGGGGGGTTGCCGGACGTGGTGTGTCCCGGGGCCGGGGTGTACGAGCCGTCGTTCAACAACTTCTGGAACGACCGCGACGACGACCACTACCAGCTGCTGCGGATCAATCTGGAGCACCCGCTCAAGATGTCGCGCATCGCGATCCGGAAGTGGGTGCAGCAGCGGAAGCGGGGGGGCATCATCGTGCACGTGTCGAGCACGGGCGCGCAGAAACCCAGCATGCTGACGCCGCTGTACGGGGCGGCCAAGCAGGGCGTCAGCAACTTCACGCGCGGCATGGCGCGGCTGCAGGACCTCGAGGGCATCCGCGTCGTCGCCGTCGCGCCGGGCCCGACCATGTCCCCGCTCATGTACGACCACCCGGAGGCCCTGCGGTTCGTCGACCCGGACAAGGACAAGCTGTCGACCCCGGACGAGATCGCCCGCGGCATGATGGCCGTCGCCTTTGACCGCGACCGCTTCCCGCCGGGGACCGTGCTCGAGGTCACCCACCCGGACCGCTGGAGGGAGGTGTCGTTGCTGAATGACCCGGGGCCTGGTCCCCATGCCTTCACTAGCAGGAAGGAAGAGGGCATGGCAGACGTCTATGCGGCGCTCGACGCCGACAGGAAGAGTGTTTCCGTATAAGGCTCCGGCGCACGTTTACCTCTTGCCTAGTGTTAATATTTATAGTTCCAAGGGCAGACAGAGGGCGGCGACCGACCGACCGACCGACCGACCGTGGTCAGGACAAGACTGTAGAGGGAAAGTGGTATCGGCGATTCGTGCTGGGTCCTTTGCCATGTATATCTCTGGACTAGGCTTTGCCTAGCCAGCCTCGCCAGCTCCAACGTGAGACCTGTATTTGCCCTAATAATGGATCGAGTTTGTTACTCTGCGAAGCGTCCGACCTTTGACCTTGGCCTTATCACTTCCACGGCTCGTTGAAATCCCTTCGCGTGTGAGGTTTAGCTTGTGCCACCCCGGTAGTGGTAGATCAAGCCACCGCCGACAAACCCACAGGGCGTACGCCGAACAGAACGATCCCTTTCAGTCGACGAACTTTAATCACCACAATCCCCAGCGCAGTGCCCACCACCGGGGCGCAGAAACTGTAAAGTGACGCTATCCAAGTGGCTCCTTCAATCGTGAAATTGTACGAAACGGACTTGTCAGCCATTCAAAGTCACTGACTCTGACCGAAAATTCAATCGCGTTGCAGGGCGTCCTATGTTGGCATCCATTCCCGGCTTCATCTTCGCGCCCATTTGTTCAATGTACGTGTTTCTCTTTAACTTGCAGTGAGTCGGGACCCTCTTGCGGCTTCATGCCAGCATTGATCCGGCATATGAATTCAAATGTCATTCACAGCAAGTCCGAAATCCAGCTCGTCGTACGGATGACCGAACATGGTTTGGAGTTGCAAGCTGAGGTCGTTGGTCCATTCTGCCTCCACAAAGATGGAAGGCGGGTGATGGTTAAAGAGAACGGAGAAGAGCTGCGTCGTCTCGGGTGTGGCGCCAGGGAAGAAATCGTGATAGTCGATGCCATCCGCAATGTTCAACTCGTTTAATTCCAGCGCCTGAGCCGGCTGGCTGCCTAATATCTGGGACGACGAAGCTGTCGTTGTGTCCGGGTTGAGGCCGGTCAATAGCTTCTCGAACCCCAACAAAAACATCCTTGAGGAGTGCCACAATTGAGACATCTCCCTTAGAGCAAGGAATAGAATGTCGATTTGTGCGTTCGCGGCTGCTTTGAGAGGCTCGATGCGACGTGCATGTAGGAGGGCTAGGATGGCGATACTGATGTACCAGCCCGCTACGCCTGGGAGGAATGCAATCGAGCCCCGAGCCAAGAGGTCTTCGAAGATACGCGCAACGCAGGAAGCTGAGAGGACGGCCGCACCATATGCTTTGGGGAGTGGTTGCGTTGAAGCACTCATGTAGAGGAGAGTGATGGCCGATAGATAAGGCAGATGGAGCTGGTGGACATTGCGGTCGAAATGGGAGGTCGTCGCGGTGCTGAATGGCAGCCTCAAGCGTGGCGGTAATGCATTCACCCATTTGATAAGCCTCTGGGCAAGCTCAAAGGTAGATGCATTTGCGTCGCTGCGGTTGCGCAAGTGCTTGGACAGGTCACCGATGATCTCGCAGACCTGAACCCAGGATATAAAGATTTCGGCCTGATCTCGCCGATCGCTTGGAAACTCGTCCAGACTGGGGAGTTTGACATTGGTATCCTCGGAGTGGATGATGCACGGACGTCCTTGACACACCGACGTCAAGCGTTCTCTTGACTACAAGAGGGTCAGCAAGGCTGGGAACAGAAAACTGAAAAGGACTTACAAATAGTGTCCACCAGATACAACGTCTCAGGGTTATTGTTTCACCCAGTCGCATCGATTGTCCCGGGGTTGCCTCACGATGGAGGCCAATTTCCTGAGCCAGTCGGATTGCTATGGATGTCCACCAGTATTGACTATCCATACTGACAACACTGGGCGGGCCAGCGCTCCACCAGTACGTTAGGATGATGGCGACGATCCTCACCAACGGATTGCGTTCCGTGTTGCCATGGAACAGTACCTTGAATCTCTCATAGTGTACGCGGCGAGCTTGATGTGAAAGTCTCGGGGGATTGATTGTGGTCCCTAAGAGCCCTAGGGCTTGTTGCAGAAGTAGGGATCGTGCAAAAGGGGATCGATCGTCAAGAAGGTCTGCACGGTGTAGGACCGGACACCAGGGGTAGCAATACTCCACAAACGTCTCGGCGTAACTCTGTCGCAGAACGAGAGACAGCTCAGGGATGGGATGACGCGGTGTTATTAACGGGCTGATACTCTGATCAGAGTCATCCCGAGATGGATGGTCGAACATGGACATGAACCCTGACTGTCCCAAATAGCTTCGCTCGCGATGACCTTGATGAACTTCAGGCACTGCAGCTGGCCTAGAGCCAAGGGATTCTGCGCCGTATCGCTCGCTAACACCATCATCCGCCTTCCTCACGGAGGACTGGCCCGCTCTGATATCTCCCGCTTGACCATCTTTGAACACATTCTCGGGCAGATCGGTCGGGGTATAGCTGGCTCGATCTAAAGGGGTACCTGCAACAGTATCTTCAGTAGCGGATGGTGGAATGCCAGAAGAGCTGGCACTCAAACGGTGGTGAGCCCCCCGGCGTCGGGACTGTCGAGCACTGTAGTGTTCTAAGTAAGGAGACCTCGACAGCGACCAAGCATATTGAAACCTACTAGCAGCTGGAGTTGGTCGCCCGACAATTGCTGCATTCGCGGTCGGTCGTGAGCGAGCTGAGGTCACACTTGATCTGATACCGGTCACTCGGGTGTCAAACATTCATAGCGCCCATATGGAAGAGCACAAAGCGCAGCGTCGAACCTACCTTCTTCTGGTGGCATCGTATACACACCAGATTGGCTCTGCGCCTGATCTGGCGGCTCGTCGGCGCGGTTATTTCTGCCATAAGTAGCTGCCGAAAAGCTCTTGCTTACTGTGAAGAAGATGACGGTTGTGAAAGACTTTGCCGAGTACACTGCCCGCAACATCTTTGTATATGCACAATTCGCATTACCGAGTTTCCTGCGACGGAGCATGCGGGGAATCGGCATCAATCAAAATGCCGAAAACATCCGGTTAATTGTCTTTTGCCGAGCGCACATCCAGACGGGACCTTGGCTAAACAGGATGCTCTAATTAGCCAGAGTCCGTGCTTGTACTTGTAGATCCGACCATTGCCTTGGGTTGCCACTATTCCAGCTGCCTTAGACTACCTGTTGGGCGCGAGTTTGTGCCTTGATCGCTTTGTGTCCTTTCATACTGTGACTAGTGGAGCTGAACAGGAGGTTCTCGTCGGGTTTCGCTTATGCGCGAAATAATGAAGCCGGACCCAGAGACATGTGCAGTACGCTGAAACTGGTATTACTCTATCCCTTCTCACCTTGTGTCTGTTATGTCCGCTGTATTAGTCCATTTAGCGACGTTGCCTTCGAGAGTCAACTTGTTCGCTCGTAGGAAAGTGATCGGTCGCGAAGGGCGGTTCAACGTCCTTTCCCACCCTCGTATAATCTCTCCATTCCCTAAAGGCCGTGAGAGAATCGCATCTGGTACCCTCAAAAAGTCTGTCGGATATTGTTATCTCTCATCTTTTGTGCCCCGGAGACCGATGTCACTCAATGAGTGTAAGCATTTGCATTACGCCATTCTGGTTTCGTGTGAGTGCGAGGGGAGGAAAATGAGGCTTCTGTACGGTCTCTGACATTTCATAGAGAGTTAGCAGAACCTCATGCTTCGGACATGTGAGCATGATACTCCACTAGGCAGTGGGTGTTGTTCATGGTGAATTGAGATCTGAGGAATGTTGTACTGACTGGCGAGGCTCCGATGGTGCGTTTCTCTGATTGGTGGCGGTCACCTGAAAGGCTCCCTCCATCCACTCCATTTCTCCAGCTCGACATTGACATTTTGAGATGATTTTCGAGACTGCCCACGCTGCACAAGGAATATCACCCACTCCAGTCGAGAAAATGCTGATACTTGGAGACAATGTCGAGCTTCGTTAGCGGCCGGATCCGCTGTGCCACTTCCTACCACTGTGACTCGAGATACGCATCCAATTGAACACTCGTTGGCGCAAGACAATGGCTGCCACCGCACTTGGTCCCCTCCAACATGCGGCAAAAGGCGCGGCAACATGCTCAATTGACGCCCTACGAACACCTCGGATGGCAAGGTTATGCTCACAGAGACTAATGCGGGAAAGAGCAAGGACACAAAGTACAAACCCACAGCGCCACCGCTTTCACTCCTCTACCGCAGGAAGTGCGAGCACAGCATCCTCCGTCTCTGCCTCCGAAGTCACACACTTCTCCCGCCTCGCCTCCTCATGGTGGGATCCTCACGGTCCATCTCGCCTACTCCATCTGATGAACCCTCTCCGTCACGACTTTATCCGCTCGTGCTTGCAAAGGTCTTCCTCGACCGAGAATGAGAACGAGAAGAGATATTCATATCTGGACGTTGGCTGCGGCGGAGGCATCTTCGCCTCTTCTGCCGCTCGCCTCCCCACGACTTCGCGCGTGACAGCCATCGACCCGACGGCGAATGTCATACAGGTCGCAAAGGAGAATCAGCGGTCCGACCCTGCCCTCGCCGCTCCGGGGAAGCTCGAGTATCTCAACTGCGCGATCGAAGACCTCCCCGCACCAGCCACTGACGATGCAAAATACGATGTATTGACCCTATTTGAGGTTCTCGAACACATCGACTCGCCCTCATCCTTTCTCGAAATCGCCATCCCCCACCTGAAACCGGGCGGGTGGCTCATCGGATCGACCATCTCGCGCTCACCCATCGCCTATCTCACGACGAAACTAATCGCCGAAGCACCCATGATAGGCGTGGTACCGCGCGGCACACACGACTGGAACAAGTACATCAACCCGCCGGAACTGGGGGGATATTTCGAGTCCGGAAGGGCTCCAGGACGGTGGGGAGAATTCGTCACACAGGGGGTCGTCTACGTCCCCGCGCTGGGATGGCGGTTTATCAAGGGCAGCGAGGAGTTTGGGAATTACTTTTTTGGGATACAGAAGCTGGAATGAAAAAAAAAGGAAGGAAAAGAACCCTCGTCTTTCTGAGGGGCCTGGCCTGGAAACATTGCGCCCAATCTACCTCCGATAACCATTCGAATGACTTCTGGATGTGGTCCTCAACCAATAGTGCCCACTATGTCCGAAGAGTCAACGACATATCCCGGGTCCGAGGATGATAACACCACTCACGCACACACACAAGCTCGATCCCATTCGACCAGCAACCTGGACGGAATGACACTCCCATTCAATCCTCGCCCCCCGTACAATGCACAATTCATATCTCGTGACCCTTGACCTGTGACCCACGACCAACAACACAGACACCACTACGAGGTACATATCAACACGACCTCGGAAACCCCACGCAGAGCAAATCATACACTGTACTATACTTACCAACTAACACTATTCCGCTATAAAAACAAAGGAGGTCACTGCGAAGAAAGGCAAGAGATTATCTCGGATGTCTCTCAACGCAGGAAAAAAATTCATGTACATTTATTTACCCAAGAAGAGGGAGGAGAATGGGTCGGGGATATCACAAGAGGGTATCCAATTGTCAAATCTAGAAACTCTCGCCACTTGTGTTGTATTGTACAATTCTCTTGAGTCTCCAAAGGACCTGTAGGCTGTAGCCAGAAAGCCAAGGTGTACGACGCTCATGGGCTCCATTGTCAACAGAGGTATTCCCGTGGGAAGAGGGACCTTTGAGAGTGTATGCTGGATGAAGTACACATCACCGTTTCCCCACCAGCAGAGCCTAGTCTGGGCTTCAGCCTTGCCTTCACTTTTTGGCTTTTCTCTTCCCCTTCTTCTTCCTCGTGGCAGTCCCTTTGGCCTTTGCTGCTTCGTTACCGCCCCCCTCGCCGTCAGGCTCGGCCTCACTACTGCCTTCAGTCTCGACGTGCGCGGAGGTCGAAGTCGGCGCGGATGGGACAAGTAGACCCTCCCCGAGCAGTTTTGCCCTACACTCGTCGAGGATCTTCTTCGCTTTCTCTTCGTCCCAGTCTTGGCTTCGAGAACTTTCGCCAAAAATGTCGTTGTAGATAGAGTGAGCTTCCTCAGGGGTATCTCTGGAGGCAGAGGATACTTGTTGTTTGGAGGAGGTGCTTGCCGCCTGCTGTTGAGGTAGGTCTTTGGAAACGTTAAGGCGCTGGCCTGGACTGTTCACAGCTCTTCTTCCTTTCCCTCCGCGCAAGGTTCTCTTCGGAGCTGGAGCGGGCCCGGCCTCGATAACAGCCCCCTCCAGATCCTCTTGCTCCAGCTCCCCCTTCTCCACCATCTCCTGTAACTTCCTCTGGGCGGAGATCTGCATCATCGCATCGCGGTGTTCGTCTCTCAGCCCCTCCATAAGCAAGTCTTTTGTGGCGTTTTCTTCCTCAAGTTTCTGTATTGTCTGCTTCAGCTTTTCCACTTGGGTCTCCTGTGAAGTCTCGTAGTGCTCAATCCTCTGCATCAGCGACTTTGTCAACGCTTTCTCTTCTTGGTATTTTTGGTTGATGGTCCTGGCCATCTCTTCAAACTTGGCACTTCGTTTTTCGAGTCGTGCTTTTTCCTTTTCCAGCTCTGGGACAAGACCCTTGGCGACAAAGTCATGTTCGCTTTCCAGCGTAGCAAGTCTCTCAGTAGCGAGGCGACTCTCCTCTATCGCTCTATCTGCTTTCTTGGTTGCTTCTGAGGCTTTGTCCACAGCTCTCTGGACGACTTCCTCAAAATAAACCCTCTGACTTTCCAGCTGGCTTGTGAGCAAGTGTGTGTACTCCAGTGCAATATTGTCCATTTTTGCAACCTCGAGATCCTCCTCTCCCTGAAGAGCCGTCGGCTCACGTCGTCTGCCTGGAAGTTCGACCAACTTCTCACCTGGTTTCGCGGCGTCTTGGATGATTCGATGAACATAGCCGTCACCCGCATAGTCCCAGACCCGCTTGCTCTCGAGGTCCATACTGAATGTGTGTCCACTCTCTTCAAAATGTGCGTATGCGTGTTTGCCTTCGTACCTGCCACACCCAATCTTCCCACATATGAGACATTGCCAAAGGCTTGTATCCACATGGCAGACCTCACACTCTAGCGGGCCATCATATGGTTCGTACTCTCCTGTGGATGTTTTACTCTTGAATTTGGATGAGGCTAGTCGTGATGAGAAGTCGTCATGGGTGTACCGACAGACAGGACAGCCACCGCCAGACCATTTCTCTAAGCACGTGCAATGGAAAACGTGTTGGCAAGGAATGGTCAAAAGCCCAGTGGTTTCATCCATGCGTTCAAGGCAGACCGGACAAGTAGGCAGTTCCACAAGCGACGGGGTTCGTGGTGCAAGTGGCTTTGTTGTCGCAGAGGCTGGGATGAAAGGATCATTGGACATGCGAGGATAGCTTGTCGTCGGTGAGCTGGGCCCCATGCTCTGGTCCGCGGTTGATGAAGTTTGAATCAATTCCACCGACTTAAGAAACACGACGTGACACGTCTCTGGCTGCAGGCTAGTTAATATCTCTTCCAAGCAGTTGGCGCAGGCCACTCACCTCCATGCTATTGAAAACCTTACCGTTCCATTCGTGCTGCCACTCTCTTGCCTTCTTGCCGTGTCTAAACTTCATGAGGACCATGTAACGGTTCGCTCTTGAGGTGCGCACCATTCTGAAATGGCTGACCTCCCTTCTCGTATCCTCGCCAACCCACGAGAGGAAGTCCGAAGGCGTCATGTATGATGGAACCGCAAGGATGCACAGAGTTGTGCATTCCTCGTCTTTTGGTGGAGGGTGTGGTTTCCCTGACGGCGGGTTGCGCAGGCCGTCGCTCCAGAGGTCGCTTGACCGGTAAACCGAGTCCTTGTATAGCCCTGCTGTCTCTTCCGCATCTCTGTAGAGGTGAACAATACCCCATCCATCTGCGCTATCATGGCTTTCCAAGGGTTCGTATCGTCCTTTCATGTGATGGCCCGACATCACGCT